CAGTGATTCAGTATTGTGTTGGAAAAAAACTGTGATTTTTCTCCGTTACTTGGTTTTCTATCAAGGCCCCTCATTGAACCTTCCTTTATAAAGTTAGGTATTTCGTGCCAGTCACTTTTCTCCTGAGATTGTGGTGTGAGCGCCATCTGTTTAACCTACAGATTCTAGGATATTAGGTGCCGAACACCAGTTTGTGGAGTAGTACCCCCTCATATACTCCCTTACGTTTAGTTGTTTTGGTTTAGGTTACCCCGTCCATTTTCTTATGGGATTTCAATCTTCAGCGTGGTACGTCATTGCGGAGAACTACCACACACTCCTCCAGCTTTGTTTGTAGCTGTTTTGCAGCTGGTATTGCCGGAAGCCACCCCTTCTCCTTGACAATATACCTTCTCCGCATGATCATTATATATATATATACAGGTATATATAAACAGTAATGGACAAAAGTATATAGACAAATTAATATTGTGCTGTATTTCTTTTTCAACTTGTTTTATTAATACACCAACCTGTATACATAATTCGTTATAGCATAATACTCACTTATACATAAATAAATTCATTAGAATCCCTTCAATAAAAAATATTAACACTCCTCCAGCTTTGTTTGTAGCTGTTTTGCAGCTGGTATTGCCGGAAGCCACCCCTTCCCCTTGACAATATACCTCTTTCTCCGCATGATCATTATATATATATATACAGGTATATATAAACAGTAATGGACAAAAGTATATAGACAAATTAATATTGTGCTGTATTTCTTTTTCAACTTGTTTTATTAATACACCAACCTGTATACATAATTCGTTATAGCATAATACTCACTTATACATAAACAAATTCATTAGAATCCCTTCAATAAAAAATATTAATTGAAAAAACTGGAACTATGAAGGACAACAATATATAGACAAAGCAAAACAATTATAGAAAAAAGAAGCAACATTCATTGAATTATAGAAATCCAACCTTGTTTGTGTTAATATTTTGTAGCATAACCATTATTATCGATCACCGCCTGGCATCGTCTCAGCATAGATTGTAGAAGTTTCTTGATATCAGATTCATCAATCTGTCTCCACTTTTGCTCTAAAGCGGCAAAAAGTTCATCCTTGTTTGAATAATTTTTATCTCGTATTTGCTTATCTAAGTATTTCCATAGATTTTCAATGGGGTTTATATCGGGAGATTGTGAAGGCCATTTGAGAACTGGTATTTTTTCATCCAGAAAGAATTTCTTTGCGAGAAGTGTGCTTCGGCTCATTATCTTGCTGGAAGATTGATCTTAAGGGCATATTGTCTTCCATATAGGGTAATATGACATGCTTTAGTATGTCTGTGTATACAAACTTATCCATAATGCCATCTATTCTATGTAAAGGTCTCATCCCAAACCTCGAAAAGCACCCCCAAACCATAACAGACCCGCCTCCATGTTTGACAGTGGGCAAAGTGTACTTGGGGTTCAATCTTTGTCCACTAGGACGTCTAACGTAATGAACACCATCTGATCCAAACGTATTGAACTTGGATTCGTCACTGAAACATACCATCTTCCAGTCACAGATGCTCCAATGTGCAAATTGTAATCGGTCCTTACGGTTTTTCTTCGAGATTAGCGGCTTCTTACTCGGGCGACGTGCAAATAACTTCAAATCATTTAATCTTCTACTTATAGCTTTCGTAGAAACACTGACAATTCTTTTGTCTCGATTTCGTTTTTTTATTTGTCTTGGGGTTTTAAACTAATCTAACATTTAGTTTACTAGGCTTAGAGGCTTCCAAGATACCTTTTTGTTTATGTTTGTTCAATATTGCCCAAGATGCTTTACGCTTCAGCTTCAAATGTTTGGCAATGTCGACTTGACGTTGACCATCTTTGTACGAGTATAACTCAATGATCTTAGTTTTCACATCGAAAGAAATTTCTGGACCACGCGGCATGGTCTTAAAATCACTCAACTAATCCTCTTCTGACAGGAAATTGTATCTAAACTAATGTTTGAATTTGTCTACTTCTTTTTACCCCTCATAAAAAAGTGCTTATATTCAGACTTGTATTGTGTTCATTGCAGATAATGTAAAAACAAGGAATTTAGTTTTTCTACTAATAACGCATTTGTTTATGGAGCAATGAAGTATGAATTCGTTTTCTAAAGGTATTTAGGTAAATATTCATATTTATTCTACTTCATATGTTTCTAGTGGTACAATGAATGCTGATAGCTTTAGTGACCATCAGATGGTATATTGTGATGTTAAATGTTCAATCAAATGTGAACCAAAATTTGTAACATACAGAGACTTTAACAACATTAACTTAGAGGAATTTGATAATGACCTTTATCGGATAGACTGGGAAAGCATACTTTACTTCAGCGACATAGAAAGCAAAGTTGAGTTTTTGACATCAAACTTATTGTCACTTTTTGACTTGCACTGTCCTGAACGAAGAGTACGAGTCACAAAGCCAAAAGCGCCTTGGCGTACTGCAAACGTACAAATGTTATTCAGGGAAAGGGGTGAAGCTCTCTCCAAATATAAAATGGATCCATCAGAAGAAAACTGGAACAGATATAAAAGCCTCAGAAATTACTGCTTGCTAGCATTACGCAAAGAAAAATCAGCCTATTTGGAACATCTACATAAAAATAGAAACTCTAAATCTCTTTACAAATCATTGAAACAAATGCACATACAAAGTAATAAAGAGCCTCCGAACATTCCGGTCCACCTTTCCAATCCATATAAAGTGAATGATTACTTTACCTCAATTTTTAAGAATAGTGATGAACAATGTATTGACAAAATAATTCATTATCGTAACAACAGACATAGTTTTGAGAGGTTTTCTTTCAATTTAATTGACTTGACAAGCTTAGCATCTATAATCAGTCATATTGGTTCCAATGCATCTGGTAATGACGGAGTTACGTTGCGAATGTTAAAATTATGCTATCCCGCTATAAATCTTTATTTGTTGCATATTATCAATCTATGCTTAGAGAGAGGCTATTTTCCAAGCGCGTGGAAAACAGCAATGGTAAAACCACTCGCTAAAACCTCGAATCCTTTGTCATTTGACGACCTTCGACTGATAAGTCTTTTGCCTCTTCTATCCAAAATACTGGAACGCGCAGCTTATATCCAGATTTACGAGTACTTAGACAAAAATAATATTATAAGTGTTCATCAATCGGGTTTTAAAAAAAATCATAGCACTACTACGGCTTTAGTGGACTTGATCGATGGCATAATTTCCGCGCTTGACAATAAAAACTTGTGTGCTCTTGTCCTTTTAGATTTCTCGAAGGCATTTGATACATTGAATCACAAACTGCTTGTAGCCAAATGTCATTACTATGGCTTTGATGATCTTGCTTGTAAGCTCATCAAGTCATATTTAAGTGATCGGTCGCAAGTGGCTGTGGTTGATGGTCAGATGTCTTTGCCAAATAAAGTTCAGTCCGGAGTACCTCAAGGCTCCGTATTAGCTCCATTGCTTTTTTTGTTATACACCGCGGATCTTCAAGATACTGTCAAGCACTGTCATGTGCAATTCTTTGCCGATGACACTCAGGTAAAGTATGATTTTCCAGCCTCACGCTACTCTGAAGCCCAAGACCAAATCAATGAAGATTTGTCAAGTATTAGCCGCTATTGCAAGTTACATAACCTCAAGCTCAACCCATCGAAGTGTAAAGCCTTGCTATTTGGTAATATCAAAATAAGAGCAAATCTTATAAGCAAAATTGACGTTCAAATCGAAGGAAAAATCATCCCTTATTCAGAATGTGCCAAAAGTTTGGGCTTACATTTAGATGAAGACCTGAGGTTTGAAAAACACTTACAACATGTTTTGAGACAATGTTACGGTTCGCTCCGGCTTCTATTTGCAAACAATTGCATCACTGGTAAGCAATTGAAAAAACAGCTATGTGAAAGCTTGGTATTGTCTAAGATTTCGTATGGGCTAATAATTTATTACCCCTGCCTAACTGCTGCGAATAAAAGACGTCTACAGATAATGCAAAATACTTGTAGTACATAAATAATTTGAGGAAATTTGATCATATATCGCATACGTATTCTGACCTCAATTGGTTAACTATAGATAATCTATACAAATATTCTGTTATAAGTTCTGTGCATCGTATTTTACTATCCGCATCACCCCCATACCTGTTTGAAAAATTTATTACCAGATCCAGCACGCATAATATTAACACAAGGCATCAGGCTTTCTTTATATTGCCAGTCCACCGTACTGTTTTATATTCAAGAACTTTTATTTACAATGCCGTTAAATATTACAACAGTATTAATTTTCATTTTAAAAATATTGTGAATATTAAAACCTTTAAATTAAAATTGAAGTCCGATCTTCTCTCGCAAACATGAATTGCCACTTATATTTATTGGTTAATGATGGTTGATTTTTTAAAAAAACCCTTTGATCACAGTTTTGTTGGTTTAAAACAAACCGATTTAAATGTATGTACCATAGTTAATGTCATCCATTTCTATGTAATTTCGTATAAATTATCAAAATGGGGTTAGGTGGAAGAATAGCTCACGCTAAACCTCGCCCCTCGTAATGTACTAAATGTTTAGTGCAATAAAGACCCTTTATTATTATTATTATTTGTCTATATACTTTTGTCCATTACTGTATGTATATCCTCCGACCCTGTTAAGTATACGACAAATTTTTATAGAAGCAAAATAATAAAAGAATTTAATTCCCTATAAAATTGTTTTTATCACCTTATTACATAGCAACGATTGTTTTAGAGATTTTCGATCAATCGGCAATTTGAACTTATCATTAGTAAGCAATAAAATCTAACGATCTAATATATACATATATATATATATATATATACTTATTTTTTTTAAGATACACCTTAATTGTTATTAAAAAATACTAAACCAGCTGGCATTTCTTTTTCAAGCAACGGAATAGGTCAAGACATTTTCAAGCAGAATGAATATGGGCTTTGAGTATGCAGTGGCTTATAATTTTTCGCAACACCCTCGTATCATGAACACTAATAATTTCAGGACACGTATATGATCTTTCTTATTTTTATGTACTAAATCTTCCCTGAATTTCTCTGCATGCATTTATTAGCACCGTGATCCCATCTGTGGTCATTTGGGAAAATGAATAAACGAATTAAAAAATATATTTTAACAAAACATAACAGTTTTTTATCATACTGCATTGCATTCATTGTCCATGATATGTTCACTAACTTCATGGAAGTCCATGACAGTTTTCTTCGTAATAGGGCTCTTACAGGTTTGTACCAGTTGTTTCAAGCATTCCTTACCTTTCGGCCTCAAACTGAAACATTGCGAACATGAACCAATTGCCAATCTAACGATTGAGTAAAAGCAAAATGTTCATGCTTGTAGATCAATAAAACAATACAAAACATTATAAATGCTATATAGCTTCTGTATTAGAGAGCTAAGATTATACCGCTGGTTCCGGGCATATAGGCGCCGCAGCTGGCTCAAACCATTGATTAACATATTTCACCTGGAGATATCCAGGTAACACGTTGATTGCTAAACTGCTAACAAGAGAAACATCTCTTGAATAAACAGTGCTTACAAAACGCGATTCATTTAAAAAAATGTCATTTTTTATATGAGACACGTGGCCGCAGAATATATTCGTTTAAACTCTGGGCCACGTGAGACTCTCTCGGACAAGTCCTGGCAAGTTTCATTATAAGGGTAAGTACTAGAATCTGCCATGTTCCAACTTTACAACGTAAAGGACCGGTCTGTAGTTTGTCGCACGCGGCATGCTAGATGTATAAAAATGTGAGACAAACGCTACTTTCCATGGCAGTCAACGTGTTAAGATAGGTACCAGAGAGGTGCTAAAAAGAGATTGATGATCCTAGCCCCATCTATGAGAGTAGCAGCACCAAACACCTTCACTAAAGTGGATCCCTAAATTCTTTTTTGTTTCTGCTAGTGACTCATAGATAGCGTCAGCGTATCCCAGATCCCTTTTTGAGTGCCGGAATACAGTGTATGGTAGGATATCTTCATGTAAAATTTGTTGTCAATACTCAAACCATTGCTGAATCTAGAATATTACATAACGAACACTTGCACTTCTGTGAAAACAGTGGTTTTCTTAAGCACAATGGAGTATTGCAGTTTACATCGCCAACTGTTTCAGAAGGTGAACGAAAACTATTGCTTCAGCTTCCGCTTTCCTCAATCCTTCCGTGGCGTCCTATACCCGCAATCAGTCAAGGCAGAAACTTCTTCTTAACTACTATTACGATTCACTTGTTTTATTCTATTATACACCTTAAAGTTCAATGTTTCTGAAAAATCCGATACTTACTCGCAAACTTCTGCTTTCGTTATCAAACGATCATCTTTGCTCTTCTCATTAATTAGTTTACAAGCCTCAATTTTCTCTTCTTCTGCGTCATTATCAAATATGCAAGGGTTGAACAGCTCTAAAATCATGCACAGTGTTAGAAACGGTAATGCATTGTTTACAAAATGCACAGTACAGGATATCAAATGAAATCTAAGCAAAAAAATGGCGCCTAGTAGTTTAACTCTGTATTTTCCACTCAATGCCCTTTTGAGTATATAGAGGAATGAGCTCAGCACAAACTAGACTCTTTGAGAGAAAAGTCCGTCAAAAAGATCCATACAGTTAGTCCGTAGAAATTTTGTCTCTACCCTACCGGTAGTGGTTCTGGAAATGTCGCGTCTCCCTGATAACTCGGATCTGTTGGGAGCGTATAAATGTACCTGCATAAAAAATAGAGATAAACCCTCCCCACCCCTCTTACAACCCCACCTCCAAGTTTTACCGCCAAACATTTTTTGAAAAATGATCAGGATGCTCTGTCAAAAGACGAAGTTTCAGCGGTTTTTATTTTTTCGCTTAAGAGCCGTTTCAGATGCAGCCGACGCTCAGCGCTGACCGTCAGTGATGATAAATATTATGTATGTTATATGCACTCAAAACAATGGACTTACTATTCCATACAATGTTGCACCAGATGCTAGCTCAGCAACAGATAACGACTTCTCGCTAACTCGTTGTTTACGCTTTATTTTCTAGAAGTGCTTTGTAAGCATACCAATAGTATAAATAGGCCTTGCGCCCATTTCATGTCGTTCAATACCCGGTTAGACTCCGTAAATGTCACATTTGTAAACCTTTGTATATTATATGGACTGAAGGTTCAGTCCTCAAATAAAATTTTTTAAAAAGTTATTTCTAAATCTAATGATTTAAGAAATTGGTGTCAGAGAAGTGGGATAGCTTCAACGCATTAGAACACGTGCATACTAACTAGTGCGGTGGATGCCTATCCTTTAAGCTGAAAAGGACCAACGAGCCTTAAGAAGAAAGAAACCTATTGAAGAAAGAAAACTACAAGTAAGAAACTACAAAGCAACAAGAAGAAGGAAAATAACAGGGGACACAGCGAGCAGCAGCCACCCAACTGCAGACAGACTACTGGAAACATCGCAAGAGATCCACTAGCCGCCTGGAGAACACGACTGCCTCCCGATGTACCCTTGGTAACGTACAATTTTAATCTAACTATTTTTTGCGATTTATCTCTGTGTGTGTGATTTTTATAACCTTTTATTTGCATTTTTGCGCATTTACTCTATATATTGTCGATTTTCACGTATTTTTCCCCATTTTTACGTATTTTTCTATTTTACATTTATATCTTTTTGCATTTTCCCTTGACATTATTGAATCTTTTTGAAACAACTTTCCATTTAAAATGTCTACTAACGGTTCAGATGATTACCAACCAGCTGAAATTCCTGATAACGTTCATGCGAACATTGAACCTTATAGATTATCTGAAATATTTTCGATTGTACCCGAGTACGATGGAAACCCGGTATTGCTATCGACCTTCATCAACGCGTGCCGAACGGCGTATCAAATGGCCGTCGAGGAGCAGCGGCTTCTCGTCGTTTTACATATTAAAAAAAAACTTCGCGGACGTGCCGCCGAACTTGTGAACAGCCGAAACCCTTCCACGTGGGAAGACATACGGTCCCTGTTAGAAACGCACTTTGGAGATCTTAGAGATCTCACATCTTTAATCGCGGATCTTCAACACATGCGCCAACTCCCCAACGAATCACCCCTAACCTTTGCATCTAGACTGCAGACGCATGCAGCCAAAATGCATTCCGCCGTGAATAGGCAAAATCTAAATCGCGAGCAAAAATCTGCTCAAAGTTCCCTCATCGAAACGATGACTTTAAATTGTCTATTAACAGGATTAGACTCAAAAATAGGACCTGTTGTGCGATCAGGACATCCCACGGATATCTTGACCGCAGTTTCGTATATCAAACGAGAGACTACCACCAAAGTGATAAAAGTTAATTCACTTTTAAAAATGCAGCCCGAATGCAGTGGCTTTGTAGGCACCACGAGATTACATTCTAGATATTCTGTTAGCACCTATAAGAATATCACATACAAAAGTCACCCTGTAAAAGTACCCTACAAATGCTGTGAACATCTCCCAGAGAAACAAAATTTACCAAAATTAAAACCGATCAAGCTAAGCAAGATCGATACTGAAGAACTCGAAATTGCCAATCACAAATTAAACCAATATTCTGAACAACTGGACAAAATTATGAACGAGCCGTTTGTTTTGAGACATCTCTCATGGTTCACGTATTTCATCATCACCCTGTTAGTTATCATCGTAGCTTTGTACCTGTTCTGCAAGTGCAGAAAACGAAGACCACTCAGCATCTGCGCATCAAATTATCCAGCCGATGGCCCATCTCCAGGAGCACCAAAAGTCCGGTACATTCCCAGACTTTTTCCTCGACGTAGACCAACCATCCAGCCACATGAAGAAGACATCGAACTGCAGTGAGTGTTCCGTGAAGTGTTTTCACTGTTCAAAAAAAAAAAAAAAAAAACATTTTCAATTTTCGTGTTATCTTCCATGTAATTTTGCCCGTACGACTGTACGATTGTATCTTATTATTTGTTTGTTCCAGCTTTGCTTTTAGATGTTATTTTGCATCGCCAATGTACCGCATTTATGCTAACAATTTTATTTTTCAGAATCTATATTTTCTGATGTTATTTTGCAATTTTATTACTCCTACTTTTATATTTTTATATTTTACAATGTTTACAATTTACATTTCTACATTTTTACATTTTTGAATTTTTACATCTTTTACACTTTTCTAATTTTGTCAAAAGTTGTCGCATGGCAACAACTTTTTGTAATAGAGGGAAGTTGTTATATGCAATCAAAACAATGGACTTACTATTCCATACAATGTTGCACCAGACGCTAGCTCAGCAACAGATAACGACTTCTCGCTAACTCGTTGTTTACGCTTTATTTTCTAGAAGTGCTTTGTAAGCACACCAATAGTATAAATAGGCCTTGCGTCCATTTCATGTCGTTCAATACCCGGTTAGACTCCGTAAATGTCACATTTGTAAACCTTTGTATATTATATGGACTGAAGGTTCAATCCTCAAATAAAATTTTTTAAAAAGTTATTTCTAAATCAAATGATTTAAGATGTATTAGCGTAAATGAATCATTTCACATGCCTTGCGTATGATCCGTTCGGCACGTATCGTCCGTCGGGCGTCAGCTGAGCCCGAGCTGATACTCACCATCAGCACGAGGTAGGGCCGTTGTAAATTTGGTATATTTCACATGCAGGCTGATGGTCGGCGAGCGGTGTTGCAGTGTTTTCCTGATTTGGTTTGTTTATTGGTGTGTTGGTATTTGCCGAAAGTGTATAAAATGAGCGATAGGAAAAGTAATATTTTATTGATTCCGAACTATTAATAGCTACAATACAAGAAGAAACATTTATTTGGGATTTCTCTTGCGAGGATTATAAAAACCGTGGTAAGAACTATGCTGCTTTTGAACGTGTGACTGAAATACTGATTGCAGATTTTGGTAATATGTCTGATCAAGAAAAGAAGGATTCAGGTAAACAATTTCCGTTTACTTTCTAATTTGGAATGCAGTTCGTCAAAGGATTTTATTAACATTCGAAAATATTTATAAAATTTTTTTCATCTTCTCTGAGGCTGGCGTATAATGTTACGAATGCACCTGCTACGTTCCGCTCTAGTACAGCACTGACCGTCAGCGCCGAGCATCGGCTACATCTGAAACGGCTCTAAGACCTTTTTTCTCTGTCCCCACTGTATCTGTTTTCAAAAACTACGAAGCTTTTGCGTCATTGGCATAATAACATTGTGTAAACATTTCGTCGAGCAGTACTTCTCAAGTTACAATTTTGGCGGACAGACAGTCCGATGGAAATGAATGACATGGATTTTCGTGATGTCGAATAATTACCAACAAACATAATCTCATTTTCGAAATTTTTCTCGATTACGGTATGTTACTTCCCTGCCAGTAGGCGTGGGAAGTAAAATTGAGTTGACTGGATTGTCTAAATACTTTCATTTTCCCACGCATTGACCGATACGAAGTTTTGGGTGGGCGAACATTTTATTGAGATTAGAGTAGAAATGAGAGAAAATGCCTTGACTTCAAATTTTTCTGAACTGTTTAAATATTTTTGGATACACCTCAACTTCTCCAGAAAATTAAGAAACGCCAAAAAACGAAATAACAGTTTTTTCAAACATGATCAAAAACCCAAAATAGCACCGAATAACGAAGATCGGGAACGTTTTGAAAATGTTCAGTTTTTGCTGCCACTATTAGACCGATTTTAAAAACCTACAAATCTTTTCCACCCTTGGTCAACATTCTATCAGAACATGGGAATTATAGGAGAGTCAAGGATTATCAGACAGAAGACCGATGGATGGATTTTAGTTTTGCATATGTCATGTAACATTATAAAGCTGCTAATATAGGGTATTCTTAAAGTTATGACTTTCCTTTTCAGAAAGAACTGAGTTTCAAATAGCAAAGTTCATGTGCGTTAAATTAGCATCGAAAAAGAAATTTCAAGTACTATCCTGTAACATTCCTCGTAAATACTGTTTGAAGTTGGCGTTCGATTCAAAAAGTTGTAAACTTCTTTCTAAGTTTGTAACATGGGGGGCTTTCTATGTCATGCTGTGTCCACCTCGACGGTATTTGCACGATACAAACGCAGATCGGGACAGTAACATCCAAGAAAATGATATAAATACACTCGCGAAGTATCAGTAGCTTCTTGAAGACATCGCAAATTAACATAGAATCGATAACTTCGTACGTCCAATAGGAAGGTGCCAAATTCGGATTTTCCAATTTGTAAATAAGCTAGGTTACTTAACTTACACGCCGCGCGGTACTTGATTTGAATAGTGACGCATATCATACCACAAAACATCGTATCTTTTCACGTAGAATGCAGGGTCGGGCTGGTCCATTCAGATTATTTCGGAATTGAATTTCTCGATTATCTAAAGGCTTTGGTGTATTTCTTACTAAGAATACTTGCTTATTGCTCCATTACATATACGTAAAGGAAAGCAGCACTTTAAGGACACCCTGTATACCGATTTCGAAATTTTTGGTAATTACAAGACATTCTGGACTATTGGCGTGTTATTGTTTTGACTCATGCTCGCGCTCTGATGTGTCCAGAAGGTTGGAAAAGTGGAAAAGGGGAAGTTCCGAATGAGCCATCGAACGTGCGTAAATCTCCAAAGTTACCGAATTGCAACGTTACCTAATAGGCTCCAAAAAGCATACATTAGGTAGCGGCGAAATAATACGGACTATAGAAGAGAAGCGTCACTCCGTCGTTAAAACAGTTTCTGGCCAGGTATCTGAAATTATATCTGCAATCCTACATGCAGGTAATCATTCAGGTAATGGAGGACACCTGCAGGTAGTTGACCACAAAACACTGTTCGAAGTGTTTCACGTGTCGCAAAACAAAGATAGGAATTAAGGTGCCGATATTTTGATGCTCCGCTAATGATGTAAAGGCAAGTATGTTATTACATTATATATATTAAGTTCTAATACCGCATAACCAAAATTAACATATGCATTTATTTAAAAAATACCACAGGTCGTTAGTAAACACTATTTCAAGGATATGATGCTTTATTTAGCGGCAGGAAAAACATGGAGGATAATAAGATATTTGCATGTCATTCGATAGCGAATCCAAAGACCCACCTATTTGCTCTGCTAAGAAGTTATCAGTTTTGAGTGACGCGGTGTCAGAAATATATAACAAACATAAATGGGCTTTATTTCGTACAAAAGTACAAAAAAGGCGAACTGTCGCTAAGATTAGCGTTTTTCAACTTAACCTTCAAAGTATTTCAATCACATTCAAGCGACGATATGTTCTTTTTAAGAAGCAGCTGTGATCTTGGTGTAATTATCGGATAATATCCATTCAACACGCATAACCACTTGTTATCACCGAATGTGGCAAATCTATTTCTTATGAGCACGTTTCAAATTTCGATCATCTGGCTAAACTAGCCAGTCCCATGTGAATAATATTAACAAATAATGACCGATGTATCTGTTTGTATTGATATTGGGAGGATTTCTGGAAAAATAAAAAATAGCTATACCCAGATGTCCGCTTACAGTGGCTGAACCTATGCATACAAATCCAGAAGCTTGTAGAGCAGAATGCAGTTCTGTATGGACTGGCGTGAGAAGTAAAAATAAAAAACAAAAAATAACCTATCTGAAAGACCTATTGAATAAATACGAACCTAAGACCTCTTCAACAGTAGAATTGCAAGCCTGATCAATAAAACCTGTAATCATCTTGATTCCCAGAGGAAGAGCGAATTTGAATTCTTCATCCAAACAGTTTATTAGCACATCAACGAATGGCTTGGTGCATTTTGGAAAATTCTTCTTTATCACTGAGCATACTGTATCAGAGCCCAATTCCACATTCTCCACGCATTCTGCTACCTTCTTTGTTGCTTCCTTAAAAATGATTTTATGATAAATTCGCAAAGTCAATCTTTTTTCTAATGAATATGAATAATAACGTTCTAATTACGACTTAGGAAGGCGTTTGAGTGTTACCCTTTCGAAACTGTTTCCTATACTCTTGCACCGAAAAGGAAGAAGAGAGCAGCAGTCTTTTTATGTGATGTGGCTTAATTACACACAACGCAGGTGCGGTGGTAATTTTCCGTAATGCCTTAAAACGCAAAAAAACGGGGAAAATCGTAATTTATAACTTTGAAGATAACCTCTCTTCAGAAAGGACAACACAAATAACCCGTCTGGTACAGATAATAGATATACTACCTGGGCAGCATATTCAGCAATGATTTTGACAACATTGCAATCTGATCACCAATCAGCCAACCTCAGCAATGGCCAGGTTACGCTTACTCGGCGGATACTACGGAAACACAATGCCGGCTCAGCTCGGATATTAGAAAGATTGCTATCATTTTGTCTTGAGGGCAAATGTTTTGGGGAATCTACTAATCTACAAGTGTGAAGTATGTCTAATAGTCACATAGATAAATTTACCGGTGCTAAAAGCGTATAAATATATACAATGACAAAAAAATTAAATATATCCTCCCTTACTCCATGTAACCCTCCTCCGACATTTTCAAAAAAATGTCCCCTTCAAAACCAATAATCGAGTTCTTTGTCTGCTGCCAGACCTTGAAGGTGAATTTCATCTTTTCTCTGCGAAAGTGAATGCATTTACTTTATATCACGTTTTATTAGTAACAAGTAACGTCAACGTTTATGATTACTAAACCGCCAGGCCAGCGGATTATCAGGGTCTCGCGTCTGCTTCCTTATTGGCATACATGTAGGTACGAGGAGGTACCCAAAAATAACCGGGGTGGGCAGAGCTTGTATAGTCATTTCCGCCCCTAGAGGCGTACAGCACAGCTCATTACCATTTAATTGGCAAAAATGCTGCTGAAACTATTTTAATGTTGAAAATAACTTTCAATGATGATGCTATGAGAAAAACTCAGGTGTACGAGTGGTTTGTTCGATTTAAAAATCTCGACATGCCGCTCTGGACGTCCATTAACTGCCCGAATTGATGAAAATGTTGAAAAAATTCGTGAGCTCATGCTATTTTGAGGTTTTAAGACGATTGCGACACAGTGTTCGGCAAAAAAGACACGATTTGTGGCAGTCAGGAGACTGGCATGGTTCCGCTACCCCTCCGTATAATAAGTATCTCACAATCGGAAAAAATAGTTATATCCGTATATCTTAAGCGCAAATGTAGGAAAACATTTATTTGTGAAATATCTCTAATAGGTATTGCTCAATTTCTGGGGCTAAAAGCAAGTGTATGAATATACTAATGCCAAACTACTAAGAAAACGGCCCAAAACGGGAAAAATAAAAATCGCTCAAACTTCATTTTTGACGTTTCAGAGGATTATGATCTTTTGTTAAAAAATGTTTAGGGGAAAAAAGGTTGAGGGTGGATAGCGAGTTATAGAGGAATGGGGGAGGATGTATCGTAATTTTTTGATATTAGTATAGCAATTAAACTCCCAGCTCCGGTGATTCTACGCACCATCGTAGTAGACATATTTCACACATCACAGATTCCCCGTACATTTGCCGATAAAACGCCGAGGAACTTATAAAAGCAGGTAGCAGATGATGCGATATGCACACACGAGGTGGGCGCGATATTATCATATATATTATACTTGTAGTATAATTTGACGATGTTACTTGATTTCGTGAGGTAACAAACACTAAAATTTTGAGTAAATTGTAAAAAACCGCTAAAATAGCAAAAAATTGTATCAAAGCAAACGAACAAAATTGTCTGGAACTAGATCAAACGTATTTATTATGTATTTCAATTCGCGTCTCCAAGATTTGCAGGACAATAGTCAACAGCAAGGAAGAGATCGTTGAGAGATCTATCCCTGTTCCTGTACGAGGTGACGGTGGGCCACAGCTTTAGAGAATATAAAACTTGCAGAACTAGATACTTACCATGACATCCTCGTCAATATTCGGACATCTGGATTTGGTCTTGTTATAAAGATCTAAAGCTTGAGTCATCTTTTCATGATTTGCCGATTGTACGAACTTTTTCAGCTCATTGAAGTCTATTTCCTCTGAAGATGACGAGTCTTCCTTGGCATTCACTTTAATAAAACATGATCATTTATCATAGCGATTTATTTAAATAAACAATATTTTATTTATAATAGTTATTCACATATCTAGGTCACAAAATTAGCTTTTTGACCCGATGCGTGAAATTAGAGACCAATATGTGAAGAGCCAACGTATATAAACAAAAGTTTATAAGTAAAAAATTTAGAACAGCCCTTAAGTGAATATCATACCTAGCAACAAATAAATATGGACAGTTATCGTGTTTTAAGCATAGTTGAATTTGGAGATAGCGGGCGTTAAGGTTAATTTACCGCCCGGAGGTGTAAATAAGGCTGAAACATGGAACTTTTGTTATTCATATCCTGGATACTCACCGAAAATGACTGCAATAGACAAGTACAAAAGATACAGTTTCATTTTCACAGAGTTCGCTATGTAATCTCGCGAGACAAAATATTCAGTTTGCCCTCTGATAAGCTGCTTTTATATCGAGATCATTCTGTTTATGTTGTCTCTTGGTAAAAATTACTTAACATTCTTGCTAAGGTCAGTGATAAAGTCTTCACCATACATTTTCTTATCTATTGTGGTCATTTTTGTGTTTACCATAGTGATCGGTTCAATATAGATTTATAGGAAATTATATTATGTGGTTTAATTATTGGTCGAAACTCATTATAAATTCTAATGGTCGACTCTATAAACTCTCTTATACGTACGATCATAGACACGGTTCAAAATTTTGTAATATTAAATTTTGGTCAAACTAGGACCATATTCTAAAAAAACCTCAGTTCCTGATATTTTACTTCCTATGTCAAAACTGGCCAGGAAGTTTTGTAGTTGTTGTAAATTTCTAAATTGAGATATGTTTTTTTTTGATGTTATATGACATGTACATCACGAAAGACCATGACAATCATTTCCGTCGGTTTGTCTGTCCGCTAATTTTGTAACCGCCTATAATTTGAGAAGTACTGCTCGGATTTTGATGAAATTTTCACACAAGGTTATTACTATGCCCAGAATAAAAAAGCTTAGTAGTTTTTGAAGGGTCAAAAATACGAAAAAAATATAACGTACATAAACTTAGTTTTTGACGTTTCAGATGATCTGGCAATCGTTGGCGTTGCGTGCACGTCGCGATGCTGCATCGGCGTGGAGGTCACTGTCGACTGTGCAATGGGTAACAAACTAAAGCTGGTCTGCAGTGGTGTCGTCACTGACACACCGCTACAGGAGAAATATTTATATATTTTAGCAATGTTTGAGTATTAGGAGTACGTGCCACTTCACAGCGTTCTGCAGTGCTTTAGTAAATGATGACTTAACTGCTTTTATATCTACATATATATGTTTCTGGATTTTATAATCCTTAAATGTACCATCCATTTTTCCTAACCTTTAAGTTGTGTTACTCCGCCTATGATGGTTTCGTCAAATAGGTTGACTCATGGCGCATTGTATTCAACAGACACGGACTGGGAAACCGACATAAATGAGAAACACGGACTTGTGTGACAATGCCTTAAGATATATAAACACCTTTAAGCAACAGAAAACTTACGAACCGAACTTCGTTATTATCGCGAGTTTAGATAGTTAGATTTTGACAATTGAAATAAAATCGCTGGAACGGAGTGTTACAACGTTTCAGACTTTCCTGCTCGTTTTCAGACATTATTTGGAGGCAATAAAAATTATAGGTTGGAAGTTGTTGCGGTGAATGGTTGTAAATTGTTGCATATTATTGAGAAGCTGTTGATCTCAGTGATACTATGCACCTGTTAGATATGAGTCTCATATATTTTCCCTACATCTGCAACAGAAACAGAAATACGATAGATTTACTTTATATAGAGGTTGAAGATTCATCGTACCTAAGGTAATCACGATTCGATTACGAATTGGGAAACGATTTGACTCATACCTTTTCTTTGAAACCTCCAACGAAGGCGTAGGAAGTATCGAATCAATCTGCTTGACGCCATTATTTCAGTAAAAGTAGTTTTTGTTTGCCCAGTTTTCTAAAGAAAGTTTTACAGCTACTGTATTCAAAAATATGTTTCTATGTATGCTGGCTATTTCGTAAGGTTTTTGGGCCCGCATTTCACGTAATATATTGCATACAATTTTGATAAAGACACGGTAATAACAAATAGTTTGAGTAATAAAAACGGAAGGTCATCAAATTGCTTCAGATGATTGACCTGGAATGATAGCTGTAAAAAATTAAAATACCGACTAAGGCTGCAAAAACTTATTGTTATTGTCAAAATTGAACATCAGGCCGATAATTTTGGAATGCGGTGTATGTATTGTGGTTCCAAGTGGACGGGACTGTGGAGCAATCTACTACAGGAGACTCTAACTAATTTATAACTTCAGGCAATTCAAAATTTGGAACAAGTTTGCTTTAGCTTTTTTGCAGAAGTCGAACCGCATCATTTAGGTTCAGCCTACGCGGCTGCTTCATATTGAATCATCTTATAAAAATGTAAATTTTGCAATTTAAAAAAATATAATAACATTCCCTAAGTACGTCAGAATTTGGAGAAACGTAGACATGAAGTTAGTACATATAGTATTTTGCTCCTCTGTATTATTTGCTTTGTTCTTCAGAATAATGAATTGATTGATTAATATGTACTTCGAAATCATCTAATGGACTTTTACGAAACATTCGGCGCATATACATGTATGTGCAATTTGTCGTATTTTGTAGTTAACCTCAAAAACGAGCTTTTGCAAGTTCCTGTGTTACAAAAAGACCAAGAAATGTAGGCGGAATGAGTAATTCGTGTTTGTGTTTTTTCGATAAGTACATATAATTATCTTGCTATTAAATTAGTAAAAATAACGTGCCCACGATTGTGAATCGTTTAAACATGAATAGGGGTCAAATGAGTAACATAGCATAGATAAAAACTACGTTGGAAAAACAATTATCAGGAAATTTGAACAATGATAATGCTTCATAGTTTTATAAGTTCTTGATTGTTAATAGTTCAAGACATAGACTCGAAGAATGTCTTGCTTATCTGACTTATAGTCTGGAATCACATGCATTCATACATTATGAAAAGTAAATGGGCGCCTGCAGGGGGTACCAGGAGGCTGTGGCACCTTTTGAGAATCCGGTTGGACCTTGATATTTACATATTTAGCATGATTTTATGTACCATTTTGAGGATTTTAAAGATTTGGCCCACCACGAAAAAATGTGCTACTTCCGCTCTTAAAATGTTTTGGTGGCAGATACACTTTCACAAAAAAGCTATCTCTTGCCGATGATCGACCTTTCTGAGGAACATTTCTGTGGGCGCCCAAATGATGCGCTATGAAACGACAAGTAAGTACTTTTAGACGACAGCTTAAAGCGTAAATGTATAAAACTGTGTTACGTAACACATCCCCAGACATCATTGCAAAAAGTCAGTAGTTTCTGGCGCGGATGCCCCTTGTTTCAGCCACCCAGTACGGATGAACATTTTTCAAGAGTATCAGGTCTATATGCGGAGATAACGGCCCCTGAAATAACTCAAATTGATCGCAGTTGATCGCATCTATGTAAGTTTTTGAATTTAAACACTTGAGAACATGCGTATTTGGAACTTTTTGGAACATTGTTTTTTTATTTCAGTACTATATCCATTTTAGAATATTTAACTTCGTTTATTTTCATCCAGTATGAGCGTATTGTCGCTGACTACTTTAAATATATGATAGAACGCATTACGACACCAAACATACAAAAAATGACGTCAATTAGTTTGACTTTAGCCCTTCCGAGGAAAAAGTTAGCTACAAACAAGTATAACAGAGCAATTAAATAGATCAAGTCAGTCAGTCAAACGTCGTCCCTCCCCCGGAACCTGACCGCACGATGTCTCAGACGTACGAAAAATTCCGTACATGCATTAGATCTTGAGTTTCTGTACGAGATTAATACAAATCTCGCACACTTGTATGATATTTTAAAAATCATGACTACGCAGATAACTTTGCGTGGAAAAGTATAAAAATGCACAAAAATATGATGATAAACGAAGATGTTTCATGAACATCAATATGCAATCTCTATACCTATGTCATAGCCAGACTAGGTCTATGATCTCCTAAAATGAGCTATGCTAAGTCCATGATAATGTTGTGAATTTTCGTTCAATGTGTGACTGACGTGATTTATAAAATCGCTCATTTCCTTATTATCACAGGTAGGTAGACACTGCAAAAATCGAATGAAAACTCATAATATTATCATGGACTTAACATGTAAAACTCATTTTAGGCAGAAATGGACTCAACCTATTCTGGATCTGAGGAACAGATCTACATTCCTACCCAACTCTTGCTGTTAACTTTTTTCAGTTGAGTTGGTCTAGTTCATCACTGTCTGGTCTATCAAACATAACCACGTCAAGGACTTTCTGTGCGAGTCAGTGGACTACACAGTTGAGCAAGTTCGCAAGCGCACAATGCCCCGGCTCGCACTGTGAGCAAAACTAAATTGTGCCATTTTACGTCCAACCAAAATTATAAATTTCCTTCAACGACCAATTTCTAAATTAGTTTAGTATCAATTTAAAATTCCCGAATACTAGTTATCAATGCCAAGGCACCTTTCAAAGTGACGCACTTTTTTCTCTTTGCTCTCCCTCCTTCCTTCCTATCTTTCTTCTTCCCATCTTTCTTCCTGACTTTGTTTGGTATCTGGGCAACCCGAGCTGACATACCTCTACTGACTTCCCATACTTTAACCAAGAGCAAACATCCTACGGACCGCTCTGACAGACAATGACGAATAGAGAGTTGACTCTCAACGAGATGCCAGTGTAAAATTTTGTTAAGACGATGCAGATACAGATTATTTATTGCCTTTCTCTAGCTGCTATTCTTTCCATTTTTTGTTCGTAGTTTCGTCGCCAAAAAGTCGATTTTCAAAAATTACGAAGGTTGTTCGACCTTGGCATACTAGGAACCTTGTGTAACAATCTTATCACAATCCGAGCAGTACTTTCCAAGTTATAGACGGGCCCCGCTGCCAAGAATTAGCAGACAAACCGACAATATCTCGAATTCGAAATTTTACCATGAGAAGGTGGACTGAATACATAAGATTTATATTTCTATGCCTTGTGTTATTACTTCGTGGGCTACCGATAAAATTGTCAAAATGTTTTTAAATGTAAACATTAGTATCTCTTGAATATATATTGCGGGTACAATTAAGATTTTATTACTGTTAAATTTTCCTCAGCAAGTCTCTCTAGAGGACATTTTTAGGATGGACCTCAACACTTGCTTCTGCATTATAAAGATCCTATTGGCATGGCTACTATGTCCGAAGAAAATTATGCCAAAGTGTGCAATGGACTCAAAATTATAATATCATTTTTAGTGTCTTAAGGTTTAGGTACTTATTTAGTACTCTGATGCGAGAGCATGCGTTGTTTTTCTAGATGTTCTACGAGCCCCTCCCTACTTCAGTTGGCCCAACTATTGAAATCATAGTTTTTTATCAAACACAAATAATAAAAATGTAGCAACCGTAAAAACGCTTTATTGCAGGGGCTCAAAGTACTTCCAGCTACATTGTTGAAATTCTG